ATATATATATATATATATATATATATATATATATATAGATATATACGGGAAGAATAATATGATTGGCCCACATATAAATCTGGTTGTGCCGATCAGATTCCGCAGTAAAATATTTCGGTCCCAATCGTATTTGGTTGTTCTGACACATAAATGGTAGCAGTAACATACATGTAAGATTATTATCATTCACATTATAACGAAATTTTATTTAAAAAATGGTTTCTTTGACCATAACTTGTAGTAATTATTTTTCTATGTGATTATAATTACAATTACCAAATTTTTTTTTTCAATAAATCACCTAAGGATTCTTGCTATCGCGGCTAACTTTTTTTTTCTATGCAGGCAACAACGTATTTCAGCGATACGGGGAGCATAGCTGACGTTCACTCCACGGAGCATATCCTTGGAACGTACAGGATAATGCTTGAGGAACGATTTCAATATCGCCGGACCGACAGAAAGACGACATCCAGCACCGGACCTGGACGCGGCAAGATTGCCAAGGGTCAACTCCGCCCTCGACGAGGTTTTTTCGTTGGCGAGAGCGCCTCGTCGAGACGCTTAAATATCCTAGCCGGTCCGCGAGGCCTACGCCGCGGCTGCCCTACCACGGAGCGTTGCTGGCACGAGACAGGATTTCTTTGAGGGGGCCGAGGACGGACGGCCGTGCTCGGTTCTTGCAGTCGACTTCAAGACCGCGATGCGGCCGAGCTAACGGTGAAGAGAAGCCGACGCGAGTCGTCCCACGTCCGCCGCGCTTGATTCTCGAGTCGGGATTCGTGCCGAAGTACGGACGACGACCGGATTTCCGGAGTTTTGTTTTGTTCTTCTTATCATTCTCCCCCCGTTTCTTCTTGCTCCCTCGGTTACCCTCCCGCATGAGATGATCGATTCGTAGAGGGAAGAGCCGCGTTCCGTGGATTCCCGCAACAACCTCGACCCGACCCAAGCTGTGCACCTGAAGAGCCAATACGCTCGCGTGTCCAGGTGTATTTCCTGCGAGGTGCAGCCGGACTTCCTGCCTCGGCACACCATGGCCCAAGCTGCTCGCTCGTAGAGGACAACACAAGCAACTATGAGTGAGTAGTGAACCTTTATATGTATATATATATATTTCTTTTTTCTCTAATATATCTATTTTCGTCTAAAAAATCCTTTTTTCTCTTAACATTCGCAACTCTGCGAAACACACAAAACTGAGTATCTCAATTTCCGCCCATAAATTTCAAGCGTGAAATTTCACGTGTCGTTTAGACAGGCCGACAATTCAGCCACGCGAGATAGGATTAGGAAGATAGGAAGTGGCGAACGGCCGCTGATTTGTATTCCGAATTTTCTCAGCTCATTAAATGTCCGCCTAACGGTATTATTAGTTTGCCCGCGGTAACGGGTGAACTACCTGGTACGATTATCTCGAGGCGCCGGGCCAAGTGAACCTGTACCATCTGTTCTTGTAGAGGAAGAAGCGGGAGAGCGTACGGTCAAAAGTATAATTTTTCAAAAAGACGCTCGTCGACTCCCACGGACGCGTGCGCTCGCGAAAAAATACATAAGCGAAGTTTCACGCGAATTCACCGCGTCGCTTTTCAAATCGGTTACATTTATTAAGTTGCATTCATCCGCGAGATTCACTTGTTTCACGACAATAAATTTCATGACATACAGAAAAGCGCGTAAGCAGTGAGAAAACTGACCGACTACCGAGTTATCTTGGAAGAAAGATCATCGGCTGTGTTCGGCCAATTTGCTCACTGCTTACGCTTTTTTGTGTGTGCTATCCCGCTGTACTCCGAAGTCGCTGAAATCCAAAGTATTTGGACTTGTTCCCTTCCGAGCCGGAGGAACGTCTGTTTGTACGACTCGGCGTTCGCGCGAATACCAGCTATACTCTTCCATGAAACTATAGCCGCGTCGCGCGTGGCGGCGGACTCTTCGAAGGGTTAATGCACCTACGCGCGTATCTTACGGCTATCGTCTTCAACGTACACCGTCCGTCCGACCTTGAATCGCACTATAGATACCATGTACACGTTGTACATGCCGGTGTACCTCTCGTAACCAGACGGGACGCCGAATAGTGTCGGCGCTACGCTCGAAAAGTCCACGCTTCACGTCCCGCGTTTAATACCATTTGCGAGGCACAAAGTCGAGGACGAGCGCTCTGAGAATGTTCGAGGCATTTACCGAGGACATTACACTCTCCGCCGAGGAGGAGGAGGAAGAAAAAAGAGATTTCATTTTTCCTCGTCAGTGGAAAGCGATCAATCGATCGGAAAGTCGCAGCGCGATTTATACAAGTCGAGAGAGCGTCGAGGTTTTTGCGGAGCAGCGCGGGGAACGCGCGGAATTCCTTAACGTCCAGGTGCGACGGACGATACGAGATTATCGGCGCTCGGAAACGCTATCAGGCCACTTTGCATAAAGTGGACGAGACGATCCGGAGAGGAGAGGATCGCGAGGAGAGTGTTCATTTCCGCTCGGTCGATCAGTAGCGACGTATGAGCGCGGTATTCGCGCAGACGAATGCGATGTTGCGGCATGAAGATATGCGAAATTCATATGCATGATAAAAGGACGAGCGAGTGACGGAGTAAATGAGAAGATAGAGAGCCGAGGAAAAAATCGAGCAATGCACTTCCTCGATTCATCGCGCATCCTACCTGCATGAATTGCATCGTTAGCCCCAGACTATACTTTGTTTCAATGCTGGTTATTAATATCCGCTCTTTTGCATTCCTCGATTATTTGTTTGCAGAACTTTTCTGTTTTTGAACAACGAGCAATTAATAAAGAGGAGAAGAATAAACAAAACTACACTCAACAAAAAAATGTTAAGTATGTCATCGAAAATTCGCATAATATGGCAATTTTAACGTAGTAGAGGGGATAATTTCTCTAAAGTGTACCCGTCAGAAAGGCGACTAGTCTGGAGTTAAACGATCTATTCCATCGTGTTGGTCGTTCCGCAAGGCTTTACGATGTCACGCAAACATCGCGCACATAATCTATTCCTGTTTCTTTCATATATTTATATTACTATTATTTATTATTCTTTTTACGCTTTTATGACACGTACCATGGCGACGAGTTTCCGAAGACGCTGGGATTTTCGCGCGTGGTTCGACGCAGTGAGGATTTTGGGTTGGGATTCGGAGATTGCACGCGAACGTAACGTTAAACGCGTCACGGTCAGTCCAATGAGAAAAAATCGGTGCATATGGTAATGCCGTTCTGTCCGGCAAAACGCATTACTGAGAAATTCTCCGAGATATACCCGCGAGCCGGCCGACGATGGTCCGTTTGTCCGCGAGCCGTGACCATCCGACCATGGTGCTCTCCTGCCTTGATTCCTGCGTCCCACCCATTACTCACACTTCCGACAAATCGCGGCAGATCTCCGGATCAACTCGTCTGAGTCGAGGCGCATCAGGATGCGAAGCATTAGGTGCAAACGGTTTGTCATGTTTGTCGGACAAAATAGAAAACTAATTTTTTTTAACGATTTAAGTTTTTTAACGATTTTTACGAATAAAACGATCGACGTCTATTCGATATTTTATTCCAGACATCTAACACCCAAAAATACATAATCTCACCCTTCGCGGAATCTTCTTATATGACCTTGAGAGGATAACTCTAAAACGAAAGGAAAAATTCTAACATTCCAAAAAAGGGCTTTAATTGCAAAGTGTTATTTTCTGTAATTTCATACTCTAAACGGAAACTTTTACCGAAAAGTTGGAGTTAAAAGTAAGAAGAATATGGAATCTTCTAATGAAGACAAATAGTATTGTATTCAGAATATTTTCCTTTTGGTTTTGGAAGAACCCTCTTGAAGCCATATATAAGAAGATTTCGCAAAAGATGAGATTATATCTTTTTTGAGTGAACGAGAGAACTTCCTATTCTTCTTTTAATCCAAACTTTCTATGACAACTCAATAGAAAAACGACAAAACTAACCTGATACAAACACAATCACAGGAAGTCGTATCGAGCGATTTCAAGCTTGAGTGGTTAAAGGAACTCTCGCAAAATTATACACTTTGATTTCATCGCGCAAAGGTCGACGTTAAGTCCTGGCAAATTCGAGCGAGTTTTTTGCGCGTGTGTGAGCGCGCATGGGACAATCATGTACAGTGTTCTGTTCTTAAACCGCAAATCGTGGGGAGGAAACAGTCGTCATTGTTGCGGGAACAGATGTCAACTGCGCGTTGTCGCTCTTTAACGAGCCGCGGCTCCTTTACGCCAATTGCAATTAATGAGCGCCATTGTTTGAGGTTACCGTTTACACGGTTAACGTGTACATCTGAGTGTGACTCTTTGCTCTCCCGTCAGATCGTGACAGCCCGATAATTTTTCTGGTCGTACCGGCGACGATTAAAGTTAACGCGGGCCAAGTGCATTAATTAACACTCGAGCAACCTACTCGACGCTTGATCGATTATAAAGATTTTCTTTGACGTTTTCGCTGAGCAGAGATCACCTTCGAGTACCGATCGAGAAATTTATCCTGAGTAGAAAAATATTCAGGAAAAACTGCTTACTAACCAGAAACTGGCCAGTTTTTGCAACCATCTCAATAATGAATGAATTTTAATGTGAAAAGATCTCCTATCTTCTGAAATACAAGTTTCACTTTTACATTGAACAATAAAATATAATATTTTAAACCATCAAAATTACAATTACGAAAGGGCCTGTGAGAGCTAGGTGCAAGAAAGAAGTGCACAAGTTTATTACACCTAGCTCTTTATTTATCTTTCTTCCACCTATAAGCCCTTTCGTAATTGTAATTTTGATTGTATATCTTAGAGACTTTTTATTTATTAATTTTGTAATATTTTAAAATGTAAAATCGAACGATGAAAACATCGGACAGAATCTTGTGCAAAAAAATTATTTATTTAGAAACTGACTAATTTTGTCCAATTACTGGCGAAGCAAACATCGTCTAAATTGGCTGGAAACCAGCTAGCAATCAGGATTCCTGGCCAGTTACTGGTTAAGAAGAGCCGCTCTTTCTACTTGGGGCAATTCGAAGGAACCTTCAATGCCGAGGCGCCGCGTGCAGTCCGAACGAGCGCGAGCAGGTTTCGTTTGCGCTGCGCCTTGCAATTGCGTGGCGAGAGTAAGCAATCGCAGTCTCTTCACGAGCCTTGTCCGCGAGGAAACCTTACGAACAGCCGCGAGCCTGAAACTTGCAATCGGGTTTGCATTTTAGAAAGGCACGTGCACCAGTGCGCGCCGCACTGCGGTCGCGTTTCTCGCATACTTCGCGCAAAGAAACCGCGGCGAGCCGAATTGTTCAGCGCAAAGCCTTCGTAGGGATTTCTCTTTCGCACCATGAACGACAGTCAGATCAACGGACGTGAGCACAACGCAGGACTGACTCTATCTCTGTCAGAAATTGCGAGTCGTCTCGCCTGAGTGCGAATCACTTGCCGCACGATTTCGCCTCTCGAAGCTCCTTCATCTGCATACACGCATAATATCGAAAGTCCAGAGACGACGAGGAAAGAGTCCAATTGAATTCAGCGACAGAAGAATATGGATGAGAAGATGAAATGATGGAGGAGAAGAGGAAGGAGAATATGGATGAATAGGAGAATCAGCAGGCCAAACGCTACGAGAAAGAGGAGTTGGACCTCTGAGAACTCGACGGAAAAATATGGCCGGACGGGCGACAAAATGTCAGAAAGAGTGTCACCCCGGCGAATCTCACGGACTACCCGTGCCGAGATTGTCTCAGAGAGGAAGCCCTCGAGGAAGAGTGTCACCTAGAACGACCTAACCCACATCCCAGAGGCCGAGAGAAACTGAGTTAGGCGCGGAACGTCGCGGCTCTCATTTCCGCAAGCGCTTCTTAACTTCCGCCGAGGCGCCTCGCCACCGCCCGTTTCCGGTCATGAATCAATCGATCGGTCTACAACAGCCTCCGATATTCTTGTCTGCTGCTGCAACTTCTTCCTAGTATACGCTACTCGAGGCTGGACGGGAAATCACGGCGCGATAAACTTCGAATTACTTGCCACGGTTTCGGATTATCTTATTTTCGCTACGATTTATATAGAATTTCA